GTCAGATGCTTAACTGACTGAGCCACCCAGGTGCCCCTGATGTTACTGTTATTTAAAAAATTTGGTTTGAGTAAAATAGTATTTTGAACTTTTTTTCACTTATTTCAGAGACCAATGTATCTTCTTTTTTTTAAAGCATTTTCTTTTTTTTTCTTTAAAGTTTATCCACTTGTTCTGAGAGAGAGCATACGCGCAAGTGTGCATGAGCAGGGGAGGGGCAGAGAGAGAAGGAGAGAGATAACACCGAGCAGACTCCACACTGTCAGCACAGAGCTGGATGTGGGGCTCAATCCCACGAACCGTGAGATCATGACCTGAGCCAAAATCGAGAGTCAGATGTTCAACCTACTAAGTCCCCCAGATGCCCTGATGTATCTTTTTATCAGCCCTCTCATTAGATTTGGATTTGTAATCTTATTGTGCATATATATATATATAGAGAGAGAGAGAGAAAGAGAGAGAGAGAGAGAGAGAGAGAAAGAGACAGAGAGGGAGGGAGAAAGAGAGTGAGAGTATGAGATGGGGAGAAGGGCAGAGGGAGAGAGAGAATCCTAAGCAGGCTCCATGCTCAGCACAGCACCTCAAATGGGGCGCATTTCCATGACCCTGGGATTGTGACATGAGCTGAAATCAAGAGTCAGTGCTCAACCAACTGAACCACCCATGTGTCCCTGGATTTGTAATCTTTGAATAGTTATTCACATTCTTTAAAAATATGTTTTTTTTTTAATTTTTTTTTTTTTTTTTTACATTTATTTTTTGAGAGACATAGAGCACAAGTTGGGGAGGGGCAGAGAGAGAAGGAGACACAGAATCCAAAGCAGGCTTCAGGCTCTGAGCTGTCAACACAGAGTCTGATGCGGGGCTCAAACACACAAACTGGGATCATGACCTGAGCCAAAGTCAGATGCTTAACCGACTAGGCCACCCAGGCGCCCCGCCCAAAAAATTTTTTTTAATGTTTATTTATTTTTGGGAGAGAGTGTGTGAGTGGGGGAGAGGCAGAGTGAGAAGGAGAGAGAGAAGGAGAGAAAGAATCCCAAGCAGGCTCCACACTGCCAGCACAGAGCCAGATGCAGGGCTCACCCCACGATTACCTGAGCCGAAACCCAAGAGTTAGACACTTACCCGACTGAGACACCCAGGTGCCCCTGACTATACATTAAGATTCTTTTGCCCATAAGAAAACAGCTGCTGTTTAATTTATACACCATATTTCATTGTTTTATGTTTGGTTTAGGAAATAATTAAGGGAGAGAGTAGCTATCACACACACAAAATTGTATATGAATTTAAACACTGTAATTTCCTCAAATGTTAATTAATAATAACTTGAAGGTTTCCTGATTTATCACTGTATTTTTCATCCTAAATTGGCTTTATGATACCATTTAAGATGGACGATGATTCACACATGTATGACTTCAGAATCTGAGAGCTGGGATGGCCTGAGGCCTGCTTTTCACATCTCACCGTGAACCTTGTTTGCTTGAGCCACTCATAGACAGGAGCAAAGAGGGCTTGTGGCCAGAGGTGCATGGCTGCTCGTAAGAGCCATTGTTCATATCCTGTCCACTAGCCTCTTCAAAATCATTCCACAAGGCCAGAGACCTTACTTGAAGCATAATCAAATTGTCTTCAGTGAAAAGTTATTCTCCCAAGTATTATTGGCTAGTCATGAAAATTGATCCAAAAAGTAAATTAATAGCAGATACATAAGAGTTATAAAATGGGCATTTGAGGATGCCATAGGCATCTGGAGTCTGTTTTAGAGATCATAGAGACCCTCCAGTCACACTGTATAGGTATTCCAGGAGGGTAACTTGACTTGCCAAAGGTTGAGCAGCAAGTTCATGGCAAAGCTGAAGCTGTTGGTTTAAACCATTTGAAATTGTGATTTTTACACTGGGTTTGACCTTCAAACACAGCAATTTCACGTGGGTACATCTAATAGAAACCCATTCTTCTGGCTAATATCACTTTAATACTCAGATCTTTTGCAATTAATGTCTGGAAAGCAAGCAGCATCCTCTACTTGTACTTTCCTTGGTACCACTCTGAGGAGTCAAGTCCCAGAGGCTAGTTGGACTCCAGGTCTGACTGCAGTTGGTATTTTTTTTTTTTTTAATTTATTCAATTTGAGAGAGACAGAGTGAGCAGGGGAGGGACAGAGAGAGAGGGAAAGAGAGAATCCCAAGCAGACTCCGCACCACCAGCACAGAGCCCAACACAGGGTTTGAACTCATGAAACGTAAGATCATGACCTGAGCTGAAACCAAGAATTGGATGCTTAACCAACTGAGCCACCCAAACGCTCCTCCTTTCTTTTTTTAAAGTTTATTTATTTATTTTGAGTGTGAGAGAGAGAGAGAGCACAAGTGGGGGAGAGGCAGAGAGAGAATCCAGCAAGCCCCACCAAATCGTTAATGAGCCCAGAGTGGGGCTGGAACCCACGAACTGTGAGATCATGACCTGAGCCAAAGTTGAATGCTTAACTGACTGAGCCACCCAGGCACCCCGCAGTTGGTATTCTTATGTTATGCACATAGTGCATAATGTGTTACTGGATTGCCCTACAGTTCACTGGTTATCTATTGATTACTTTTTTTTTTTTTTTTTTGCTTATGATCAGAGTTATAATGGAAGATGGGGATTGGTTAGTGTTCAAAACATCTTTCCCATAAGTTAATTATAGATAAAAGAGACTACAGAGACATGCCTAAGATGGAAAAGTCTGTTTAGCCTCTGTTTACTCATTAGACCCAGGGCAAGGTTGGGTTTCCCAATTTTCTTGTGTGTTTGACATGACTGCATTAAGATATGATTTTCAGGGGCACCTGGGTGGTTCAGTCAGCTAAGGGTCCCACTCTTGGTTTTGGTTCAGGTTATGATCTTGGGGTTTGTGAGTTTGAGCCCCGTGTCAGGCTCTGCACTGACTGTGTGGAGCCTACTTCGGGTTCTCTCTCTCTCTTCTCTCTGGCCCTCCCCTGCTCATGCTCTCTCTCCCTGTCAAAAATAAATAAACCTAAAAAAAAAAAAGATATGATTTTCAAAGAGATAAAAATTTGATGATTTGTGCCATATTTTCTTAAGACCATTTTTTTTCTTTTCTTGCCTGACTTATTCTTGCTTACCAAGTGCTGTTCAACCCAAGAGTGATAAAGACCACACTTGGGCCCAGCATCGTGCCAAGTATCAAGATGCAAAAGTATCATGGTGTAAATAGATGTAATCTCTGCCAGGAGGAGGAGATTCTCATCCAGTTAGGAATCAGGACTAGTGTGAAACAGTTAACAAGGGAAAAAAGAATAGAACAATAATTAAAACCATATTTAATATTTTGTAGTAATTACAGAACAAGTTAGAATTGGAGGAATCAGTGAAGCCTGAGACATAGGCAGTCAAGAGAGGACTAATCCATGGCTGGGGTTTCAATTTAAAGTTTAAAATGCAAGGGACTTATGGGGTGCCTGCGTGGCTCAGTCGGTTAAGTGTCTGACTTCATTTCAGGTCATGATCTCACATTCATAAGTTTGAGCCTCGCATCAGGCTCTACGCTGACAGATCAGAGCCTGGATCCTGCTTTGGATTCTGTGTCTCCCTCTGTTCATGCTTTGTCTCTCTCTCTCTCTCTCTCAAAAAATAAATAAATATTTAAAAAAATTAAAAAATAAATAAAACGGAAGGGGCTTAAATTAATGACCTTTTTTTCTTTCACAGTTTCTATACGTCTAAAAGCCAGCTCTTTTGTAACAGTTTCACCCCGCGCATAAAACTGGCAGGAAAGAAGGTAGGTGTCACCAACCTGTAGAGCCTTCAGGGAGTGTCACACACCAACATGGTTATTTTGATCCCAGGATATGCCCTTCTTCCCCATGGTCATGAGTAGAGTTCAAGACATTTGTCTTAGAACTTTATGATTTTCCACATTAAATACATCAACAACAAGGCAAACCTCCAGACTATAAGAAATATCTTTGGGAAAACTATGACAACTCTTTTTAGTTCCTTAATAATGAATATTTTTGTCATGATGTGATTGGTTTATTCAGATACTGGGACTGCTCAGATACCTTTGGGGATGAAGACATGGGCACGCATTGCAGCAAAGGGGAAATATGATGTAAAGATCACATCTTGGCAGTAGTTAAAGAAATGCAAATTCAAACAAGAATGGAGATTCTTTTTGTTTACCAAATGGATTTATTTTATTTTATCAAGATTTTATTTTATTTTAGTATTTCTTTATTTGAGAGAGAGAGAGAGAGAGAGAGAGAAACAGAAACACAGAATCCAAAGCAGACTCCAGGCTCTGCGCTGTCAGCACAGAGCCTGATGTGGGGGCTCGAACTCATGAACCGTGAGATCGTGACTTGAGCCAAAGTCAGATGCTTAACTGACTGAACCACCCAGGTGCCCCTAAAGATTTTATTTTTAAGTAATCTCTATGCCCAACATGGGGTTCAAACTTAGAACCCCGAGACTGAGAGTCATACGCTCCACTGACTGAACCTGCCAGGTGGCCCTGCTTATCAAAAGGTTTAAAACAAAACAATTATACCAAGTCCTGGGAAAAGTGGTGATATTGGTGCTTGAGTACCTGGTTGGTGTACAATACTTACAAAAAGCAGTTCAGCCATGTGTATCAAGGGCAGTGCAAACGTTCATGCCATTTGACCAGACAATTCCATTTTTGGCTATATGGTTTAAGGAAACAATTGAGGATATTAAATGCAAATAGCATCTTTATTTATAATAGTTAGAAGTTGAAAATAATAGGGAAATGACTAAACCATGAACTACACTTCATGTAATATATTGCCAGTCAATAAAAGTGCCAGTTTTAAGAACCTTAAAACGTGTTTTTGATACAAGGTGAAGAGACACACAGACTGTTGGGTATGTAGGTGGCATACCAGGTACTCTCACCCATCCATCTGCCTGTTTCTAGCAGAGTTAAACTGTGAAAGCTGCTCTATTGTGGTCATGTTAGTAGTATCAGGGCCATTTTTTCCCTTTTTTTGGGGGGGTGGGTAACGGGTTAATGTTACTCTTCTAATAAGGAAAATATTAATTGCGAGGACTATGAAGACTCCTTCTAAAATGGGCTTTGTCAAGTAGTGAGGTGCTAGGAGAAGGGACTCTTCCCAGAAAGGGCCACCTCCTGCCCTCTGAGGTTTTATGCCTTCATCACAACCCTTCTGGGCAAAGTGGAACATGGAGGAACTTCTCTATACATGATGATTTTAAAGAAGAAAGAGTGAGTATTGTTAGAGAAGTTTAAAGGGTCCTGAAAAAGATTTGGAAGAGAAAAAAAAAGCTCTTTGTGTTTTCTTTCTACCTCTGTAAAGCATTTCAGCAAACTGGGTGATCTCTTATAGGTGTAGGCAAACCGGTGAGAGCACTGTAGTGAAGGGGGCCATGCGCATGAAGGGTTTGGGGGCAGGTAGGATACACATACCACTGGACTGACCGAGAGAGAACATGAAGGACTGGGCTTGGATTTTGGCTCTGCCACCTGTTGTGTGACTTTGAGGAAGTCCCTTTTTCTCTCTAGAAATTGAATGCCCTCACCTGTACAGTGAGGATAGAGTTTTGAGGGCAACCAAGGTGTGAGGTGGGCCTGGTAGGGCCTGACACTGCGGTAGGTAGGCCTCAGGTGTTTGCTCCTGCCTTCCCGTCAGCTACAGGGAGGGGTAAGGCATGGTATCTACCCAGGGGAGCAGCCACCTACATACTGTGCCTTGTGATAAGTTCTATGTTAGCAGAGGAGGAAGTGATTAATTATCTATTTAATTTTACAGCCTGCCTCTGAGAAAGCAAAAAATGGCCGTGATACATGTGAGTATTTTGGGGACCTCCTTTTGTCCCGTTTAAAAAGAGTCCGCTAACCCATGGCAACAAGATTATGTGAGGTCGCATAAGCAGTTCACAGCTAAGTTGGGAGACCTGAGTTTCCCTCGGAAAGTCCTTTAACTGCCTTGTATATTTTCGTCCTGTCAGCTGTGAAACAGATGCTGACAAACCTTGTTTTTCTTTTCCATCAGTCAATTGTAGGGATCAGGCAGAAAGTTTTGAAGTACTAACCGTACCACATATTAAGAGGATCTTTTTTTAAATTTTTTTTTTTTTTTTTTTTTTTTCAACGTTTATTTATTTTTGGGACAGAGAGAGACAGAGCATGAACGGGGGAGGGGCAGAGAGAGAGGGAGACACAGAATCGGAAACAGGCTCCAGGCTCCGAGCCATCAGCCCGGAGCCCGACGCGGGGCTCGAACTCACGGACCGCGAGATCGTGACCTGGCTGAAGTCGGCCGCTTAACCGACTGCGCCACCCAGGCGCCCCAAGAGGATCTTTTTTTAAAGTGGGATCACAGAAGAATGAAATACTACCCAAACTTTCCCCTTATTTAGTGCTACACTCTTTTCTATATCACTTTGACATGTTAGTCATTTAATTTCAAGAACCTGATGAATGGGTTATTGTCCCACTTTTTTCAGGGAGACATGATGGTGATCACCTGTGTCTTGTGGATTTTGATGAAAGCCCTCTGAAGGCATCTGGTTGAAATGTATTTTAATGACCATTCACTTGATTTGTGTATTTCAGCTCTTGGGACTCCAAAAGAATCTGAGAATGCCCTTCCCATCCAAGTAGATTATGATGCCTACGACGCCCAAGTGTTCAGGCTGCCAGGCCCATCCCGGGCTCAGCGCCTCGCTACCTGCAGGTTTTTTGCCAGATTCACTTTGGGGTGTATATGAAAATTGCTTGGGAAAACCTTAGGGCCTGCAGGGACCTTCATGAGAGCAACCTGGAAAACGTTTTAAATTAAAATTAGCCAAATGGAAACTATACTGTGTAGATCATTAAGGGTTCTGTTTCCACCCATTTTGTTAGCTATATTTGCAAGAAATGTTGTCCCCAAATAGAGTGTTCTTCTAATCAAGAGAAGCAATTCACAAATTCTAGAATCTTCTTACTGGGCTGCCATTAATGTATATATATATATAGATCCTAGGGCCCATAGTTTCTTTGGAGTATTTTATTCCCAGTGGGCAAGAGACTTTTCTGTCTTTAATTCTTGCTTTTTAAGTGTGTTCCATGTTATTTTTGTCATATGATAGTTTTTAATTGTGCTGTAGTTGGATTTACCAATATATTCATTTCTGAGTCTTATGTAAAAAGGCATCCCATCCCAGGGCTTTTTTTTTTTTTTTTACACCCCTAGTGGACTAAATACCATGAGTCCATTTTCCAAATTTCTTAAATATGCACGTTTATTTAAGCACAGTGATTGGAAGAATATTCCATCTCTTCACATTGGCAGTTGAGCTTATAGTAGCCACATGATTGTCTTCTCTCCTTTCATCTTGTCCCATCTTAAGATGAAAACATTTAGGGGCACCTGGGTGACTCAGTTGGTTAAATGGCTGACTTCCGCTCAGGTCATGATCTCTCTTACAGTCTGTGAGTTCTCTGTGCTGACAGCTTGGAGCCTGGAACTGCTTTGGATTCTGTGTCTTGCTCTCTGCTCCTGCCCACTCATGCTCTGTCTCTGTCTCTCTCAGAAACAAAAACACATTAAAATTTTTTTAAAAAAGATGAAAACATTTAGAGCTCAGACATAAAACATTTCCTAAATGTTTAGAACCTTTAGTGCCATTAACTACAGTTCTCTTATACATAGATCTGCTTAGGGATTTGATAGCACTTTCCTCCCGAGTATTTAAAAATGCTTTCACACACACACACACACACACACACACACACACACACACAAAATAAATAAAAATGCTTTCACAGTCGAAGATCTTTGGTTTTGTTTTTTCTAAACAAAGATGGCAAGACATGGTATTTCAGAAACTTAGGTCTTATGTTTCCTGAGGGAGCCGCCTGTGTCTTAATTGGTACTCTGTCTCCCTGCACAGGACTAAGCATACACTGGTGCCCAGATATTTACTGTTGCAATAATGTACATGCAGTCAGCCTAGAGGATCTATTTTCAGTCTCCATTTAAGCTCTGACTTAAGACAAAATCCTTCCAGGCGGAAACAGAACAGCTCTGATACCAGAGGGGGAGCCCTATCCGTAGTTGCTAACTCTTCCATTCTGAATTTTTGCCTCCCTATTGGGCTTCTCCCTTTTTGATCCTTGCTCCTACTACTTCCAGAAGTTTTCTCCTTAGGGAGTTTTATGTTTTAATAAGGATAAACTTTTTAAAACCTTTATTAAGGAAATGTTTAAACATACTCAAATAGAGTAGTATAATGAAGAGTGATCAGTGTCTTGTCTGCCTCATTTCATTACTTTCCCTACATTTTACATTTTGTTGGAGTATTCTAAAACAAATCCCTTTTTTAACCTGTAAATGTTATAGTGTATGTCTTTAACAAATAAGAATTAAAAAATAAATTATCCCAAGTACCAAAATTAACACTAATTCTTTAATATCTTCTAACAGCTAGTCTATATTCAAATTTCCCAATTGTCTCAAAAATGTGTTTTTACAGTTGGTTGATTTGAATTGGGACCTAAAGAAGATGCAGACAAAGCATTTGGTTGGAATGTGTTTTTTCTGTGACCGTAGATTATGTTGCGTTTTTCATTTGGCTGATTGTTTTGTTATAATGTTTAACTTGTCCTCTCTTCTCTGAATTTCCTGTAAACTAGCAATTACCTCTAGAGGCCTGATTATATTTAGGCTCAATTTTTGGTCCAAGAAGACTCCTGAGGTGGCTGTGTACTTTCTCTTGCATCGTATCATATCCTGTCTAGTTGCCCCATTTTCAGTGATATGAGATTGATTGGTGGGATCAAGTAGGGTTAGACTGGAATAGTCACTCCTTTACAGCTATGACCCCGGGACTTGGGCCAATTGAGAACTGTCAGTTCTTATGCAATATTTCAAGCTGGTCGAGGGGGAATACCCCCTACATTATTTCTCACTCATAGAACACAGTGGGGATTTTTGTTATTGGTTTCCCAAATAGCTTGGGCTGGTGATAGGTTTTGGTGCTTTAATTCTAGGTGGGGCACCATCACTTGCTTGTTGGTAACTCATTGTCTCTCACTTGTCAGATCTGTGCGAGAGCGGGAGAGTCATAATCGAAAGAGCGCCAGCTCCTGTGATGTCTCATCCAGCCCTTCCCTGCCCAGCCGCACACTGCCCACTGAGGAAGTGCGGAGCCAGGCTTCTGATGACAGCTCCCTGGGCAGGAGTGCCAACATCCTGATGATCCCGCACCCCCACCTGCACCAGTATGAAGTCAGCAGTTCCTTGGGCTACACCAGCACTCGAGGTCAGAGGGCTGAAGAACGGGCACAGCAGGGCAGAGCTGGGGACAGCTCCCTTCCTGCAGCAGGGGATGGGAGGGAATGTGACCAGATGTGGGGTATAAGTCCCATATCTTATTATTTCCATGCCAGTGCAAAGTGTATAAGTCACCTGAAATGTACCTATGTGTATATTATACTATTTTTGTCTCTAACACTTTTTCCCCCTTCACTGTAACTATATACCTTTCCATATGTTAATGCAGAGCTTTTCTTAGGCCTAGGGTCAAAGGTGTTTGCTTATTTTCTTATCATTGCCATTTGTGTCATGCCTAAAACAGCCTCAGTCCCGAGTTGTACTTTAAGATTTCTCCTCACAGTTAACTTGCTAACCCGGCTCACACTAGGGAGCACAGGTGCTACTTTTTCTGTATCTTATTCTGCCATCCAGCAACACCTGCAGCTAGAGTCTACAGGTACCTCCTGACTTTTTAAAAAACTTTTAATTTTGAAATAATTATTGACTCATGGGAAATGACAGATACACACACACACACACACACACACACACACACACACACACACACGGAGGTCCTAGGTACCTTTCACTCATTTTCACCATGGCAACATGTTGTATAACTATAGACAACATCAGACCAGGAAACTGACATTGGTACAAGCCACAGAGCTCATTCAGATTTCACTAGTATTACATGCACTCATTTGTGTGTGTGTATTTCTGTGCAGTTTGTTTTGTTTTGTTTTTTAAATGTTTGTTTATTTATTTTGAGGTGGGGGCAGAGAGACAGGGAAAAGGATACTCCCAAGCAGGCTCCATACTTTCAGCACAGAGCCCAACAGAGGGCTCAGTCTCATGAACCATGAGATCTTGGCCTGAGCTGAAATCAAGAACCAGACACTTAACCTGTTGAGCCACCCAGGCATTCCATATTTGTTTGTTTGTTTGTTTGTTTATTTATTTATTTTTTAAGTAAGCTCTATGCCCAATATGGGTCTTGAACTCATAACCTTGAGATCAAGAATCATATGCTCTAATGACTAAGTCTGCCAGGCACTCCTCTACGCATTATTATCACATGTGTAGATTTATTTATTTATAATTATCATCATAATTAAATACAGAACTATTCCATCACTACAGGGCTGTCTTGTGTTACCCCCTTATAGCCACACACACTCACTGATCATTCTCTTGCTCTATAATTTTGTTAATTTCAAGGATGTTATATAAATGGAAGCACAGCCCTCCTGACTTTTGATCATTGACTTAGGAATGTTGTATACACATAAGCTGCCCTCTGTTGCCCTCCTGGAAGGATTCCCGAAGTGTGAGGAATGTTTTCTATGACCCAGGGTGTTGAAGGTGAAGCCATCAGCTCCAGCACCATATACACTATGCCAAGGGCATAGTTTTTGACTATAGAAAAAATTTTGCTTGTTTTGTAACTGGTTCAAAGTATACATAGGAAATGCTAAAAAAGGAGAAATGAGCAGATATTTAATGACATGAGTATAGTATATCACCTATGTCACTTAATTAGTTTCAGCACTCAGGAATTTTAATACATTTGAAATTTGTAGGCTAGCACTTTCCCACTTTCTGGAAATTTCTAAGTTTGTGTGATAGTTACCCCCATTTTTCTGCAAATATTCTTAGTAGGATCTGTAACAAAAGCTAAATTACACTAAACATTAATTCTTCCAAAACCCTTGTTGCTCTAAAAGCCAGATCTCTGAGGAGATAATGTTGTAGCTTTGAAAGTAGCTTTGAAAATAGTTTTCTTAAAAATGTATCTGAATAGTAGAATTGATTTCAGTGTCCTTTAGTGATATTGGGGAGTTTTTTGGAAAAGCCAAAAAGCAATTCACTAGAATATTATAAGGCAGTACAATCTATAGGCCCTTAGTTTACTGTTTCTCTAGTGTGTTTAGGGGGTCTCACCCATCTACCTACCCAATGTAACATAGAAAATATTTCCCCCTTCCTCTATACATATTTTTTTTCTATAACATATATTTAAAAAAATTTTTATTTTTTTTAAATTTACATCCAAGTTAGCATATAGTGCAACAGTGATTTCAGGAGTAGATTCCTTAATGTCCCTTACCCATTTAGCCCATCCCCCCTCCCACAACCCCTCCAGCAATACTCTGTTTGTTCTCTATATTTTAGAGTCTCTTATGTTTTGTCCCCCTTCCTGTTTTTATATATTTTTGCTTCCCTTCCCTTATGTTCATCTGTATTGTATCTTAAATTCCTCATGTGAGTGAAGTCATGTGATATTTGTCTTTCTCTAATTTCGCTTAGAATAATACCCTCTAGTTCCATCCAGGTAGTTGCAATCTATATGTATTTTTGACCCACTTTATCCCTTAGTTCTTTTTTTTTTTTTTTAAGTAGGCTCCATGCCTAATGTGAGGCTCAAACTCATGATGCTGAGACAGAGTCGCATGCTCTACCAACTGAGCCAGCCAGGCACCCTTATCCCTTAGTCCTATTTCTCATCCTTTTCAAAGCGTTAACTTATCTTTTTTTAAATTGGATTTTCTCCTTTTATTTTCATGATAACTAAGTAGACCATTTTCTTTTTTATTTGGTAAACCTGAGCATCAACTCATTAATTAACAGTGAAAAAATAGGGGTGCCTGGGTGGCTCAGTCAGTTAAGCATCCTACTCTTGATTTTGTCTCCGGTCATGATCTCACAGTTGGTAAGTTGGAGCACTGCATCGGGCTCTGTGCTGATAGCACATAGCATAGAGCCTGCTTGGGATTCTCTCTCTCTCTCTCTCTCTCTCTCTCTCTCTCTCTCTCTCTCTCCCTCTCTCTCTCTCTCCCTCTCTCCCTCTCTTCCTCTCTCCCTACCTCTCTCTCTCCCTCCCCCTCTCTCTGCCCCTCCCCACTTGTGCTGTCTCTGTCTCCCTCAGAATAAGTAAATAAATAAATAAATTTTAATAAAACTGAAAAATATAGCTTTCATAGATATCTGAATGTTCCCTTCTTGCATGCAAATCAGCTTTAAGGAATTAGCTATTACTATATACCAGGTTCTTTGGTAGGCATTGGCTAAATAATGGTGGACAAGACATATTCCTTGATGCCATGGAATTTGCATCTGCTGGACCCATTTTCTGATGTGGGTGATTGCTTTAGTGAACATGGGATGCATACCAGGGGAGCTGGTTGTGGGTTTTAGCTCTTTGATCCACTTAGGTTATGTAGCATGTTACCTCCATCTCTATAATGGGAGCCTGTCTGCCATTGGACAAGACAGGTTGAGTCTGTATGTCATGCCACCTCATTGCCTGGTCAATGCTGGATGCATCCATTTCTTCATTCTTTTCTCCCAGGAATTTTTTTTTTTTTAAACATAGTAATATTTGCTTACTTATATCCAGGTCACTGAGTCAGTGGGAGGGGGTTCTGATCCACCCAGTCATTCAGGGCCCCAGGCTGGGATGGTATGATCATTAGCACTGGTCTCCAAAGTTAGCACAGTAGGGGAAAAGAGAATGGAGATCATGAGTAGAGATATTCCTGGTCCAGGCCTTCATTGGAGCATGCCACTTCTACCTGTGTTCTATTGCTTGGAACGAAGTTATTATTTTTATTTTATGTCATGTCATACCATGTCATGTCATGCCATGCCATGCCATGGCATTTCCAGTGTAGTTAACATACAGTGTTATGTAAATTTCAGGTGTACAATATAGTGACTCAACAATTCCATAAATTGCTCTGTGCTCATCACAAAATATACACTCCTTAATCCCTATCACCTATTTTACCTATCAGCCCACCTCCGTCCCCTCTGGTAATCATCAGTTTGTTCTCTTAACAGTCTGTTTCTTGGTTTGTCTCTGTCTCTCTGTCTCTGTCTCTGTCTCTGTCTCTCTTTTTCCCTTTGCTTGTTTGTTTTGTTTCTTAAATTCCCCATATGTATGAAACCATGGTATTTGTCTTTCTCTGACTTATTTCACTTAGCATTATACTCTTTAGCTCCATCCATGTTGTTGCAAATGCCAAGATTTCATTCTTTTTTTTTTTTTAATTTTTTTAAATGTTTATTTAGTTTGGG